AACATTGCGTTCACAGAAAAGCATTGGGAATAGTAAACATGTAAAGCATTACCTTCACCTTGTTACAAAAACTTGTTACAAACCATCATGAAAGCTATTAAAAATAATTTTATAAATACATATAAAGGCATTTTGGCAGGGATACTCCCACTAGGTTTAAATCTGGGACTCCCCGCCATTTGACCTTAGAACAGAAGAAGATTCTCGGATGAGAGGTGAAACGTCTTCAAGCAACTTAAAGAAGTCCAGAAACTTTTCTTTGCAAGCTCCTTTGACCAAAGTCAAACACTAATTACCTGCTTAGCTGGTGGCAGTGTGGGTATCCTGGTACCTTTCTGAATCCTTTGCAGGACTGCGTTCCTATCGTCTCTGCCTGACTGTTTTTTCTGTTTGTCTCATAGCCAGTCTCGTTAAAAGCCTCCTCATGGCATAGGGGGCTGAGCCTATTGTAGATAAGACACAAAAATCTACGGCTGGACAGGTTTTCTCATTCCTCACAGACCTCAAAGGAACCAGCAATTTACGATCATTTCCAGGCAGAAAAAAAGTGCCTGTTTAGGAATAGCGATGCCAGAGGAAATACTTAGATTTAATAAATGAGACAGATAAAAGTTTTAAATCTAAAGAATTACTGAATTTCAACTTTTAGCTAATGGATTTGTGGCTGAAGGAGTATTTAGAGTCTTGACTTCTGCAAAAGTTGCGATGCAATCTAAAATATAGTGTAGACATTGTTACAGTGCAATCAAAATCCTGTGCTTTAGCAAAAAACATAAAAGAGCAGCACTCACTCTTCAGAACGTCACATGATTTCAAAATCATGTAATTCGCTCAGAATTTTTAATTCATCAGTGAAGAAGTCTATTTAATAAGAGTATAAATATGATTACTTTACATACTGTATCTATGATAACCCGTTTGTGGACACGGTAACCCTTGTTATATCTACAGATTACAGACTCCCTATTCACTTTATGTTCATGTATAAATATTATAAATATGTAAAAATATTGTTTTGAAATAAGAACAGTTATGACCTTGTTCCCGCTTTTTCACGAACTGCTTGTCTAGGCTACATGTGTCACTGACGTCAACTGGCACTATAAACTAAAGATAAAATACACATAAACAAAAAGTTCTCTTGTCAGCATATTTGGTGTCAGAATTTATTTAGACCCATGATGTACAAAAATCTTCCAAACTTACAACTTTTTAGTTGACCCTAATATTTTATACTCTTTCAAAAGCCAGTTTGAGGGTCAGAGTTGGAGTT